TGAAATATGGTATGTCTATGTTATGGAGTACTAAGCAGTCATTAAAAATAATGAAGATGTACTGATGTAGAAAGATGTTCACGACATATTGCTAAATATGAAAAAATAAGTTGCAAAACAAAAAAAAGTTAGAGAGAAGTAGCAGAATTTATAAGTAAATCTAAGAACTGATGCTTTGCAAAAACAAAATATAAGAGATATGTTCTTGGGAAATCTAACCAAGAAGAAAATACAGAAAAGAAATGAGAATGGAAAGCTAAATCCATATAATCACAGATGTGTAGATTTAAATAATTAAAAAGCAAATTTTTCATAGTTATATGTAAATACATTAGAATTTTCTGGGGAAAAAGGGCTAAATACAAATAAATGAAATATTGAGAAAGAGAATGAGAAAGTTATAAAAAATCTACACCAGAAGGCTCTGGGGCTATCTTACTTTGCTGATTAATTATTTTAAATTTACATGAAACAGATTTTACCATGTTGTAGGACTTAGAAAAAGATGAAAAAAACTACAGTAATTTCACTTCAAAGAATCTTTGCCAAAGAAACCATCCAAAGTGTTTACATACTCAAAAGTATTTGTCACAGCTTTATTTGCAATAATTTAAAATGGGAGGAAAAAGGGAATGTCTGAAAGTACAAAAAAGGTAAAGTAAATGATAATGCATCCAAATTGTAGCATATTATGCAGTCATATAACTAATGTTTGTGAAAAGGTATTTAAGGACATGGGGAACTGATTAGACTACATTAGGTGGGGAAAAAGTCAAAATGCCAGTCATCAACTTCTTAACACAATACTCACAGACTATCTCTGGGTAGTATCATGGGTAATTTTTGTTCTCCTTCCTATATGATGCTGTGTTTTCCATGTTTTCTATATTGAACATTAATAAATAAGAGAAAAAAAGAACTTTAATGAAATATCTCCAAGACCCTTTGCTTTCCCAGCTGAAAACACTGCAACAGATAACCTCAGAATACCATCGAGGGCAAAAATTGTCTAATTTATGTATTTACCAATTAAAATCACAAATGTTTTGCAGCACTAATACAGCTCTCCACTAATCACTTCTTCCTTTTAAGGCGAACCTGGCCAAGCAAGAAGGCCGCTTATCAGTGGCTAATGCTGAATTGGGGAAGGCACAGGCACTGCTTGATGAGAAACAAGCCGAGTTGGATAAAGTGCGAGCAAAATTTGACGCAGCAATGAAGGAGAAAATGGTGAGATTAAATATCCAAAATTACTGAAACGAGGCACTGAAATTTTATACAGTATGTGTTGTATTTAGAAATTAGGCAAATGTTTATCATGAAAAATATTTGCCTGAATGCCCTTACTCACTGACTATGTCTACTTATTTTGGATCTTTGACACTTTGAATTCTTTTTTGTGTTTTTTAAATAATCATTTTCTATATGAGGAAGCTGTGATGTTATACCAAAGAGTACTGACTTTGGAGTTAGAAAACTGGGTTTGAGATCCAGCTCATGCACTTATTAATTGTGCATTTGAGGGCAATTGAGCTAGCATTATCTGTCAAATGGGGATCCTAATACGACCTCATGGGATAGGTTGTAAGCAGTGGTGGTCTGAGAAATGTTCCATTGTCAGCTTGTGGGGAGCAAGGGCCAGGGGAGGAAGAAAGCCCTGAGTCACAGGGTTTGTTGATTTCTGTGGTCTACGTACTCCCATCACTGCCAATTTTAGGCTATCAGTGTGATGACACTGAACACAGATTTGGAAAAACGTGCCGCAACACATCATTATATGTTATTTCCATCATGCAGACAGACACATGCACTTAAATAACCTCACATAGATAATACTAAAACATAGCAAATAATTAGGAAGTGATGAGTTTTGGTTATTTGTTACCTTTTCTTTTAATATAATTTGTTTAATTGTAAGTTTATAGAACTTAATTTTTAATAATGGCTGTGTTGAACACCAGCTCCCACATTTCTTGAAAATTGAACAGTTGGCTCTTGAGATCTGATAAGAGCTGCCTGCGGCACACTCCTATTGTGTAGAAGTTTTCTGGGTAAAAAATACTTTGTAAACTGCAAAGAACTCAGAATTATTATTAAATCCAAGACTTAAAATGGTATATTTTATTGACTTGACACTGTTTTGAAAATATTTAATAGAAGTATTATTTTAATTTATATGATTTGAATTCTCTCTTAAAAATTGCTTTTCTTGAAATTTTGTAAGGTAAGAAAACTATATTTTGAATGAATTACCAGATTTTAATAAGTAAAGTTTCACTCACTCTGTATTTTCAGATAATATTTATTTTGCACATTAGGAAATTCCTGTGTGTATTTTTATGTGTGACTATAATGGATGTTTGATTAAACCATTTTTAAATAAGTTCTTTGAGATATTCTTCCTTTATGAACGTAGGATTTGCTTAACGATGCCGATATGTGCCGGAAAAAGATGCAGGCTGCTTCCGCTCTCATCGATGGACTGAGTGGAGAAAAAATCCGATGGACTCAACGAAGTAAAGAGTTCAAAGCTCAGATTAATAGGTACAAATTTTGGTCTTTGTTATAGTCGCTCTCCTGCTTAGTCACCACCCCAAATGCCACCTGTTTGTGACACTAGAGAACATAAAATCCATCTCCCTCTGAAGTGCTTTTCTCCTTCATTTCCATATATCCATCTCTGAATCTCATCATCTAAGAAAGTGCTTCCAGCTTAAGTTAGACACTCTTCGTAAAACAGAGAGGAAAGAAAATTTTGTGAGACATTTTTAATCTCAATTTTGGTTCAGCAATGTGGGTTTTCAGTACAAGAGTACTCCTCCTATGGTTTGGTTTTGCCAGACAATCGATGCTTGCTCCAGATGTCTACTCTTCACTATGAGTGTCCTCAGAAAACTTCAAGAGAGAGGCATGAGAAAGGAAAAAGAGTTTAACCAAGACTGACTCCAAACAGGACTAGGCTTGGGAGGGCACAGCACGCTTTCCCCCTCTGTGTGTCAAGGCTCTGGACCTACAGGCTGCAGGGAGGAGCCTTCTCTCTCGCTCTCTGACCGTCCCCAAATGTGGCCACTTCCACCCCAAAAAGGGCTTGGGGGCTCCTTTTTGCATGACCTCTGTATGTCTGGCCACCAAGTATTAAGCAGGAAGCAAAGGATTTCACCTCGTAACAAAACAAAATTGCTCTGTGGCCTTCCAAACTCCTTAATGGGAGAACTTAAGCTGTATCAGGTGACTCACTTTGTGGTTTTTCTTCACAGACTCGTAGGTGATATTCTGCTGTGCACCGGATTCCTTTCCTACCTTGGTCCTTTCAATCAGATATTTAGGAACCTCTTGCTTAAAGATCAGTGGGAGATAGAGTTGAGAGCACGGAAGATTCCTTTCACTGAAAACCTGAATCTTATTTCAATGTTGGTGGATCCTCCAACAGTAAGCGTTACTTTCCTCTTAACATTATTTGAATTTCAGTCTCGTTTTATTTCTTACTTACAAAGAAATCAAGGTACACCTAATTTGTTTCTTTTTTGTTTTTCATTTAATTAGAAAGATGGTTTGGAAAGTGCTTAAGAGCTCCAAAAATGAGTTTTATTTGTTGCATAAACAATCCTTTGCATTTTTGGAACTCTTGCTTTCATATTAATACCCATTGCACTGTTGTGAACTAGAAGGTCATTTGTGAGTTACAGACTTGCTGATACTGAACTCTTCTTATAACCCTCTATTATTCATACCAGTCCTGTTGAGTCACACTCTCTTTCAAACATTTTAGGCAAATGTAGACATTATCTAGGCCATAACTACTGGTATGAACCTTCGTCTGATTATTAACCATCTTTTTTAAGTGTCCAGCAACAGTGCACAACAGTACATCCTGGTGTGACTGAGTAATAGCAAGTCCTATGACACGAACCTTCCTCGTTGGGAATTTGATGTCTCTGTCAATTTTCACTATATCTTGCAGAGCTCCTGTGGTTTTAAATGCTTTCCAGGCAATTTGTATTCATGAGCTGCTTCTCTGATTTGTGAATATGCTCCCCAGTTGCTGTTTCCTTAGAGATGCCACGCTGTTAATTTCATGTGATCTCTCTTTCAAAGTTAAAAAATTAATCTTTTCCAATGCAGACAGTGTTGAGCTGATCATGCCAGGGACTAGATAATGCATTGGAGCTACAATGGGCCACTTTGCCTTACCAGTGTCCCCAGATGATCTTTATTAGTTATGGCCTTTGGAGGTGATGGGATAATTTAACGGAGGTGGAGGCTAGTCGCTTCATTGGATCTCGGGTGATTTTATTGACTGTGTGGAAGCAGGCTAGCAATTCCCCCTTAATTTGGAAAGGAAATTTTTTTAATGTTATTGATAGCTTCTGCCAATATAATATCTCATCTCCCCTAATTTCTCTGTCCCCAGCTATGCAATCCCCTGTACCCCATATAAGCAGAACCACGGGCAAGAAATATAGGGTTGTCAGAAAAGTCATGATGCATTTTTGCAACAGATAGCGCTAGTTCATATTTGGAAGTACTAGAGCCATTTGCATCTATGTTATTGCTATATCATTTGACAGCTGACAGTTCTAGCTTCATTCTAAAAAAAAATTGAGCAATTTGGTTGAGTTTTCGAGATTTTACAACAAGTTGAAGATGGAAGACCAAACTGTGCATTTTCGCCATATTTTGGAGTTTTACTTCCATAAAGGGAAGAAGGTGCGTCAAGCATGTGAAAAGTTGTGTAAAGCTTACGGTGACAATGCTCTACAAGAATGTCAGTGCCAATGATGGTTCACGAAATTACATGCTGTTGATTTTGATCTCAGTGACGCTCCTCAGTCAGGGAGGCCCACCGAGGTTGATGATGATAAAATAAAAGCATTGATCGAGTCAAACCCGCGTTACATGACATGAAAGATTGCAGAAACATTGAACATCCATCATTCAAGCATTCATGACCACCAAAAGAAGCTGGGATACATAAGCAAGCTCAATATTTGGGCTCCACACGAACTCAAAGAAGTTCATTTGATGGCGCTTATAAACATCTGCGATATGCTCATTAAACGTGAGGAAAACAATCCTTTTTTGAAGTGATTGATATCTGGTGATGAGAAGTAGATTGTTTGCACAATGTGGTGCGCAAATGGTCTTGGTCCTGAAGTGATGATTTGCCTCAAACGACATCAAAAGCAGACATTCATCATAGAAAGGTTATGCTCTCAGTGTGGTGGGATTTTAAAGATGTCGTGTTTCTTGAGCTCCTACCAAGGAACCAAACAATCAATTCAAATGCATACTGTTGGCAATTGGACAGTTTGAATGAATCCATCATCCAGAAACGTCCAGAGCTTGTTAATTGTAAAGGAGTTGTGTTCCATCGCGACAATGCGAGACCATACACAAGTTTGATCACCCGTCAAAAATGATTGGAGATTGGATGGGTTGTGTTGCCACACCCACCACACTCGCCTGACCTTGCACCATCAGACTTCCACTTGTTTCGCTTTCTTCAAAACTCCTTGCGTGGTATAATGTTCAATTCAGATGAGGCTGTAAATCAGCATCATGTTCAGTTTTTCGCAAATAAAGACAGGTCCTTCTATGAACCAGGAATTATGAAGCTCACTGAGCGATGGCAAAAGGTTATTGAACAAAACAGGCAATATATCATTGATTGATCTTTGTTCTTTATATAAATAAATGACCTTTGAAAAACATAGACAAAATACGTGATGACTTTTCCGACAACCCTATAGAAGTTTCAGAAGCTTATACTGGGTGGGGCTTATCTTCTCCGACATCCATTACATATATTCATTATCTCGGCTAACTCCAGCAGCCTGAATCCCACCCACTCAGTGTCACCATATGTCAAGCCTGCCCCTATGTTCTCTGAATTTTCAGCAACCATGCTTCAAAAATTTCAAATCAGGTTTAATATGCAATCAATTTAACAGTATTTCCTTGTAAGTATGAAAATTCAGTATAAAGGACTAAACCTAGTCTTGAGTTATTAGAGGAAGGATTTATTAGATGATAAATTTGTGTTTTTAATTTAATACTATTTGGTTCACATTTACAAGTTTGAGGTTTTTTCTGGGTAACCTGTTGCATAGTCTCAATGGAAAAAATATGTCCAAATTTTAAATTCTTTCAGATTGCAATACTTTTAATTACTAACAAAAGCATTCTTGTTCTCCTTTGAATGGCCATACCCATTTACTGTTATTCAGATTGGTGAGTGGGGGCTGCAGGGATTACCAGGAGATGACCTCTCAATTCAGAATGGCATTATTGTGACAAAGGCCACCAGATACCCACTCCTCATAGATCCACAGACTCAAGGCAAAACTTGGATTAAATCAAAGGAAAAGGAAAATGACCTGCAGGTATGTGCCATGCATGGGTAAGAAATCTTGAAATCATGAAATTCTCCCAAAACCTCAATTAAATCTACCATTCATCCAGTTGTTATCTCTACAATTGTTTGCTAGTTACACACCCTTGAATTTTGTAACAGGGATCTATTTGGGGCAAAGGCTTTGATATTTTCTCTCTTTGGTGCTCTCTCTTGATCTCCCCCTCCCCCTCTCTATCCATTTCCCTGGCTCTGTTCCTTTTCCAGTGTTGGATGTGGCTTTTATTCTGGGCCTGGGGTCTTGGCTTATAGGAAAGTAGCAAAGGGAGAACTTGTGATTTAAGCCATTTGCACTGACTTAGCTCAGATACTTGGTACTGCATAGCATGCTAGAGTCCAGGATTGGGGTTGGAGTCTAGTAAGGTGTTCCTTTAAGGGCGGGGGGTGGGGTGGGTGGACAAAGGGCATGATTCCAATCCTCCCGGCTCCCTTAGGGATCTTGTTACCACTGATATTTCAATTCAGCTACCAATGTGGACTGTTCATTGTTTCCTAGAACTGTTCCCAGTTCTAAGCTTCCTGGATCCATATTTTTGCTTGTCTTATTTCTATTAATGAGACTATCTTTCTCCACCCTACTGCCCACTTCACTTACAACCCAGATGAAAATCTGAAATATTCTTCAAAGTCCACATCCAACACTACCTTAATCAAGATTTTTCTGTGTCCTGAAAAGACAGGCTGTCCTGAGTCCTCACAGAAATGTTTGCATTTCTGTTGTGGATTTAGAGTCTGACTTGAACTATTCTTTGTGTGTTTGTCTTTCATCTCTACTATATCACAAACTTCTTGCTGACCAGCTCTATGGTTTTACATCATCTTTATATTTTCTGTACTGTTCCTTATATAGAGTAGAAATTCTGATATCTATTGAATTTAAAGGAATTAACCAAAATGTGTCATCATTACAATAAAAAAAACACAGAAGAATCATATGGTCATCTTGATAAATGCAGAAAAAGCATTTGATACAATTCATCACCCATTCATTATAGAACTTTCAGAAAACTAAGAATAGGATATCAGATAAAGAGCATGTACATAAAGCCTAAAAAAACCACCACATTTAATGGTGGAATTTTGAAAGGTTTCCTTCTGAGATTGGTGACTAGCTGGCAAGTGGACACTGCCCAGTACTCGTGAGCACCCCCCCTAGATACTTCCACCTCATTAATACCCCAGAACACAATGCATCACTCTGTGTTTTTTTTTAATAACAAAGGAAAGTGCTTTTATTTACTATTATGTGAGAAGTGCAGGATACAGATCTGTTTACACAGAAAGAATTCAAATGTTAAAAATGCTTAGAAAAGAAGACAAATTTACCAAAATGTTGATTAGCAGTGTGTCTGGTTGATAGAAATGTGTCATTTTCTTGTCTTCTTTGAGAATTTTAACTTTACACTCTAAGTTTGTAATGTTTAAGAATAATCTGGTGCATCAGTCTATGTTTACTTAGAAAACCCGTAGGAATCCTAGTAAGGATCGGAGTGGAAACTGAGGGGAAGAGTTAAAGGAAATGGAGGCGATGAAATGTAGCTGCTGAGGAGCTACTTTCACAGAGGAGTGCACGCCTGTCCTATCCTTGTCTGCATCCAGCTCACTGTACTTGTCCCTTACTCCATTCCTCTTGCCTCCCCGAGCTGTTGTCCTCCCTGCTCATGTTATTCTTATTTTTCCTGATCATAGCTTTGTCTCTCCATTTTGGCATTGAACTCATTGCTAACCTTCAGCAACGTCCTTCCTGATGCAACTCAGACCAAGGAACCCTCTTGAAGAAGAAACAAAAATATGCTGGAGACACCTCCATATTTTAAAAACTATTAACTGCTGGAATATAAGCAGACTGAACTATATTCTCCTTAGAAGATGCTATTTTTCTAAATGTATGATCAGCATCTAAACAAACACATAAATGAAAACAAAATTATTTTTTCTCAACGTGAAAAGGAAAACAAAATGAAAATTTTTTATCATTTTATAAATGATAAAAACCAACATGTTTTGTATGTCTATGGTGCACCCCACCTTGGCAGCTTCGCCAAGGCCACCTTCAATGTCATCTCTCCAGGACCTACAGTTCTGACTTCTGGAAAGGGAAGGTATTCCCAGGTTTCCCTCTAAAGAATTCACTGACCACTTTGTAAAGATCCCAACACCAGGGTATCTGTGCAGATGACCCAGGCTCTGGAGGTGACTACCACGTGGTGTTCCTACACAAGAAAAATCAAGTGAACTAAACCTGAAATTATGACTCTAAGATACGATTTCAAATTTATAAAAGGTATTGAAGATGGTAAAAAATAATCTTAAATAAATTGATAATTTGAAAATTATTGTTTCTGTGTTTGTTGTATTAGAGTTCTCCAGAAAAATAGAAATAATAGCATACCTATATCTAGGCATAAATATATAGATATATATAAAAAAATATGAGAGATTGGCTCATGGGATTACAATCTGTCATTTGCAAGATGGAGGTCCAGGAAAACCTCGTGTAGTTCTAGTCCAAACCCCAAAGGCCTGAGAAGCATGAGGGCCTATGGTCTAAGTCCTAGTCTGAGTCAGAAGGCCCAAGAATCAGGAGCTGATGTCCAAGGGCAGAAGATGGACGTCCCAACTCAAGCGGAGAGCAAATTTACCCTTCCTCCACCTTTTTGTTCTCAGTGAGTTGGAAGATGCCTACTCAAATTGGTGAGGGTGGTCTCCTTTACTCAGTCTGCCAATTCAAATGCTAATCTCTTCTGGAAAACCGTTCACAGATACACCCTGAAATAATGTTTGCCCGCTACCTGGGCATTGGTTAGCCCAGTCAAGGTGACACATAAAATTAACCAGCACACTTGGGAATGAAATCACAAAAATGGAATTTACTCCTTGGGAAAATGAACAGGACAATTACATTAAGCTTTATTGGGACCTTGTTTCATCTTGTTTAATAAGCTACTTAAAGCTCTTTGTTTAGATTAATTTACCTTATTAATGCATAGTAAGGCCTTTCACAGTATAGCATTTGTATTAAAAAAGCTATCCAGAGCATTTTGAGCCTTGCCTCTGCTCAGGGCCTGCTCCAAACTTTTTGGAGTGTACTTTCTCTCCTAATGATGACTCCCTGACCCTGACCCTGGCCCTGGGCCCCCTTGGGCCTTTTGAGCTTCCTTTGCTTGGCCCGCTCCAAACTCTTTGGAGTGTACTTTCTTTTCTAATAATGGCCCTTGAGCCATTCTCTACTGCTTGGGTCCACTTCTGCTTCTTTGAAATGTATTTTTACTCCTAATAAACTCCTTTTCTGCAATTAAAAAAAAAAAAGCTGTCCATACAGGGGAAAATTTCTTGCATGCGCGGGATTTTTTGTTATTTCCTTTGTAACCAAAATAGGACAAAGGTAGACTTATTTAGATTTTTACTTCCACATCTTTTTTTCATAGCAAGTGAGAGATAATATTTTTAAATTCCACTCCCATCATCACTTGCTCTCTCAATGGATCTCCTCATGTCTTAAGATCTGCATTCACAGCAGCATGAAGGCTTTAGTTAAACTCGGAAGATGGACTATAAGGAGATAGATAGCTGAGGACTGAGCCTTTGCGAATCCTCATACCTAGTCAGGGGAAGGATCAGAGGAGAAGTAAGAGTTCAAAGCCAACTGGTTCATGCACAGATCAACCAGCCCCGTGTGTCTATTTTAACTAATAACAAACGTGGATCTTCAAATGGGAAAGTCTGCCAGGCATTCAAAATTCTAATTAAAAATTTTTTCCTATATTTTATAAGAATATTCTTTATATTTCACAAGCATATAAAAAGTGAATGTGTAGTCTTTTAGGTTGATTTTATGGAAAGTATCGGACTCTTCCATTGTGCCACTGTTAGAGACAGGATACATGGATGCACCCTTGGTTTGACTCAGTATATCATTTCTAACTTTTATGCTCTTTTTTTCTTATCGCTTACTCATCTCATCGAAGTCCTGCGAAAGTAAATGCATATCACAAATATGCAAATTACTTTGTTTTCTCTCAGTAATTTTAGCAATGTAAGTTCAAAAGGATTGATCCTTGACTACTGCTCTTCCATCTGTAGCTTTGCTAAGGAATACCATTTGATTCTCCTCTTTCAATTAGAGAGAACCCATTACACCTCCAAGACTTGCACAAATCATGATCATGACTCACCGAGTTTTGAAAATTAATTTTCATTTGTTACTTTTATTTTTTATAAACAGGTCTTCCTATATAGTCCTCAAAATTCTGTTACCTCTCGGTTTCCACTTAGAAAGAGGCACAGTTTTTTCTAACATTTATATAGTGATGAACTCTTTATTTTTAGGTGACATCTCTGAACCATAAATATTTCCGCAAACACTTGGAGGACAGCCTTTCCTTGGGCCGACCCCTTCTCATTGAGGACATTCGTGAAGAGCTGGATCCGGCCCTGGATAATGTATTAGAAAAGAATTTCATTAAATCAGGCACCAGTTTCAAGGTGAGCTTTGAAAAAAAAAAAAGAAGAAGAAGAAGTAAAGTAAAAAGAACAATGGTGACATCTACTTATCTTTTTGAGCATAGCAGTGAAGGCGGTTTCTTTCAGGTGGTTGTATTTGGTACACTGGAAAAAAAAATTCCAAATTCATATTCAGTGTTTTTGTTTGTTTTTTAAAAAATTATGTAGTATACAAGAAAAACACAGTATCTTGGTAAGAGTAGCCATTTGGCTGAAACTACGTAATATATTTTACGTATATATATAGTGTATAAAAAATACAATATCTTGGTAAGAGTAGCCATTTGGCCAAAACTGAATAATATATTAAGGAAAGACATAGTCATAATAAATACAGGTTTTATTGCATAGATGTATATATGAGTGTTACACACACACCATATATATATATATATATATATATATATATATATATATATATATATATGCAATTCCAAAAAAATCAATTTTGTAAGCCATATATACAATAAAATCTGTATTGTCTCACTGGAGAAAATGGCATTTTAATAAAATCTATGTATATTGATTTGTTCATTTCTCTCTTTATTAACTTTCAGTCTAAAGTCATGGGCTTTGCTGGAAGCTATGGAATACTGTTCCTAATTGTTGGTTATAATTGTTTCCAGTATAAATGCTCCTTTTCTGATTGCTGTCATTCTCTACCTTTAGGATTCTTCAGCTTTATTTATTTATTTTTTTTTTTGATGAATGACAGCATTTCTAATTGAGTAGTTTCACTTTGGACAACTTAATTTTATGAATATTAGTGAATAAGTAAACAAAGATAGATTTATTTAGGAAAGAAATTCTTCATGATGTAAATTCTTTCATACGAGTATGCTGTATTGAACTGCCAGAGGAGGCTGTAGAATAGCCATTTCTGAAGGTCTTTGAAAAGACCCCAGATTCTTTTCTACAGCATGAAAGCATGGTGCCTGAGAAGGTGGCAGTCCTTAGCGATATGGTTTTCAGTCACAGGCAGGATTAAGGTTAATTAAAAATTTAAGTCATTTTAAAATGTTTTAATTTCCACCTGAATTTTCGATAGCAAAACCTGTTGTTTTTTAATATACTGCAGATTGTAGTGTTTCAGATAAATGTTATCTTTCTGAAAAAATATGTTGGCATTTTTTTCTTTGAAAATTTCATTAACCCTTTCTGTTGTCAAATATGCTTCAGATATGAATGTAAAATGTGAAAAGAAATAACACTTTCTATAAACATGATACATTTCCATAATAGGAAACAATTTTCTCAAGTGGAAAGAAACAGTCAAATCTTGACTGAGTTTTCCTTTATTCGACATTTGTTTTAGATAAATTTTTTATTCAATTTGCTTGGTGTCATGGCTAAAAACACCTTCAAGCAGGACAACAAATCTAGATTATTCTAAAGAAATAGGCTTTATTATAAATTTTACAACTTTCTTTTGCGGTTCATTCAAGTTTCACAGCACTGACCTTTGGTAAATTCTTTCCTAAACTGAACCTATATTCCTTGTCCTGTCCTTTAAGTTTTTTAAACTTTATATTTGAATTGCTATAGGTAAAAATCGGTGATAAGGAATGTGATATCATGGATTCATTTAAACTTTATATTACTACAAAGTTACCAAACCCTGCCTTTACCCCTGAGATCAATGCTAAAACATCAGTCATTGATTTTACCATTACGATGAAAGGACTTGAGAATCAATTACTAAGGAGAGTAATTCTAACCGAGAAACAGGTAATAAATCTCTCAAGGTAAAGAACTTAGGACTTACTCTAAACTATAATAAATGTTTCAAATGTATTGAGAAATTGTTAAGTATATGGAAAAGAAAACACATTAAGCAAATCCTGTTTACCTTTGTTAACAAATATTTGTTTTACAGTCTCAAGTCCTGTCAAGAACTTAATGTAACTAACTCAACTCTCCTCCAACTCCAAACACACACTCACACACACACCACTCTTTCCACTTCCTACTTCTGCCTTTAAACCTTTGAGTATGTTTACTTTAATATTTATAGTCCTGTGGGTGAATGGTTTGGGTATACCAAAAAAATTCAATAACATAATGATTCAAGAGAAAAATAAATTCCTCTGAATGAGCATTATTACTGCTGTAGTAGTGTCAACTACTACAGTCTAAGAATCTAATAACGTAGGGAGCCATACTTTTATTTTAATTAAATGAAATTTGCATTAAGGCAGGGAAATTATTTTACAAGATTAAACTAATTTTAGAATAAACTCAGAAAATAGTAAATTTTATATATAAAATATACTTACATAAAATATAATTTTATATATTTGTACATATAAAATATATTTTCATAATATCAGAGAATGTTTATATTTGCTGAAATATAATTAATTTTAGTAGTAAGGGTTCAAGGAAAAGGCAAGATTAGTAATAATAAGACCAGAGAGGCATAAAATGGGAAGGTGATAAGACTGGACAAGGAAAGGAGGAAAGGCAAAAGGTATGAACCAATGGCCATAAAAACAGAGGAAAGACATTCAAAAAGGGAAAGAGAAATGATACATCAAAGAAGCAGAGAGACTCAGTAAAATGAGATGGAAACTCCTACCTGGTTAATAGAGATGGTTAGTGTGGGGCCGACCTTGGGAAGGCGGCCAGCCTGGTGGAGTAAAAGGGGCACATTCCCAGCTTCCACTCTCATTTGCTGTTCGATCTTAGTTAATGACAAGCAACCCAGGGCTTATGCAGTCCAGAAAGGGAGTCCTGTCCACTTCCACCGTCAGGCAAAAAAAACTTGAGCCCCTCAATTCATTGCCTCCATCACCTCTTAGGACCACGTGGTGTCCACTGTTGAAAATCAGCCCTTCCTTCATGGCCTGGTGCCGTTGGTCTGTTCTGGGGTGATTCCTCACTGCTCTGGACCCCCCATGCAAGCAGTACTAACTTCTGTAAGGCGGGCCACTCCACTGTGTAAGGAAGGCTACAGTCCGTGTCCCCAGAGCACCCCGTACCCATTCTTCTGGGCCTTAGCTTCTTCTTCAGGAGATGCACTAAGATGCTCACTCCAAGCTTGCTGGAAAAAACAAAATGCACACTTAAGCTGCAGGAGGACATCCCAACCATATAGAGTTTAACCCTCCTAACTCCTGCTCTTACACCTCCATTTTCCAGATGAAAATGAAGACTAGAGAGAATAGGGTCTTAACCTATAAGAGCACATGGACTTTCCACCCTGCCAAACCTCTTAGATAAACTTTACCAGTCACGCTGTAAATCTCACACGTATCCACTGTACCATGATGCTCATTTCTTCATATCATAGTGAAGAGGAAGCTAATGTGACTTCATGTTGTTCACATACTCCTATACTGCCACCCGGGGTGCCTATTTTAATGAAAACAATTCATTAGCTATTCCCCTGCAAACAGCCATGACTTTCCTTGCCACCTCACCAAACCCTGCAAACCTCATAGTACAATGGCAGTGTATCCTGGTCTTGGAGTTGGAGAACAAGGGTGATAAGCCTGTCTCTGCCAGTGACAAGCTGGGCATATTATATCGGGATGTTATTTGGAGTTCATATTACTGGGTCCTCAGTTTCTCCAAATGTAAAATGAAGTTGTTGAACCAAGTTCAGCACACTTCAATTTAACAAATGTTTATTGGGTCAAGTTCCTTCTCTGCAAAGCTTCAAGACAAGGGCTGCCAAGGATACAAGAAAGAATAGAAGTTGCTGCCCTCTAGATGCACAGAATCTAATCAGAGGGACATAATCTACACACAGATTGTGATGCAAGTCAGGGTAGATGCACAGATGAATGCTGCGCTGTGGCTTTTGACTGACAAACTGGTTTAGGAAGACTTTCTGAAAGTGGTGGGACTTCTGAGACATTTTTCAAGAAACATTCTCAACTAAGCAGTTTAAAAACACCTTTTAACATAATTCCAAGTACAATGTGTGATCTGGATAAGATCAGAAAAAATGATATAAAAATGCTATTGAGACAATTTCAGTTTATTGTATATTTAGCAAGAGTATTATATCCATGTTAAATTTCCAAGTTTGAAAATTGCACTATAGTTGTGTAAGAGAATGCATTGGTTCTTAGGAGATTGGCTAAAGTTTTTAGGGATAAAGGATCATGATATCTGCAAATGGCTCAGCAATAATAATAGTAATAGCAATAATGATAAGATGCACACACACAAACACACACACATACACAGAGTGATAAAACAAAATGTTACTTGGTAAATCTAGGTGACAGGTATATGAGAGTTCATTGTATAAGTCTTGCAACTTTTCTGAAAGTTTGAAATTTTCAAAAAATATAATTTAAGAAAACACATCATTTATGTAGGAAAAAATACCTCTCAAACATCCAGTTTAACCCTGCTGGTAGAAGGAGCTGCAAAACAATGGAGAACGGATTTGTATTGGCAACTGGCTATGGCAAACCAGCTCCCTGGAGTACCCATAGGCAGGTCCCCAGCCAAGAGCTCACACTTGGCTTGGGTCGCGTCTTGGCTTCTTGATAATTGATTCATGCCTCTTTGTTTTTACCACTTCTGACTACAAATAAAGTTAACATTTCTCACAGAGGCAGTGTGAGAACAAGGCCAAGAGAATGGGACCCTCTGATTTAAATAAACAGAGAGCTGTGAACAGAGCTGGGGATGATTGGGCAAAATTATTTTAGCAGGGTGATCCCATGCATGCCAGTGTAAGTGCCTTGGAATCTTAAAGCTAGTGGGCATAATTTTTAAAAAGATTTTCCAGAGGAACAAAGTTACAGAAAGACAGATTTGACTAATGATAGTAATTTCTTCTGTCATGCAAAAGGCACTTTGGTTTAAACTTCTAAAAATTGATAGTAAACACTAAATTGGATTTGCCATAATAACAGGTAATTACAGTTATGATGTTATTTTTTGTTTCTTAATAACAGGAGTTAGAGTCTGAGAGGGTTAAACTTTTGGAGGATGTGACTTTTAACAAGCAGAAGATGAAAGAACTTGAAGATAACCTCCTCTACAAATTAAGTGCTACAAAAGGTATTGTGTTCTTAAGAAATAATCAAATAATAGATTCTGAATAAGTATGTGTCATGCCCTCTTTTCAATGCCCTCACGATTACAGATGTTAGGAAATAGTTATCAATGCAAAAATAAATGAGGCAGTTTTCCATCTAGACATTAAAGAGGGACGGCAGAGAGTCTGATTTTTGATGTAGCAAACAGAATCTGAGCATTTGAGAATAACAACAGTTTTCTTGATATAATTGCTCTCTCCTGAGAAAAATAAGGACTCCCAATAGAGGTAGGTAGCTCATAATAGGCTAATTTGCTTGCCCAAAGGAAACTAATGTGCTCAATATATTTTTTTTTCAGATTGACTCTCATTTGTCATTGAAATGCATTTACCACAGTGGGCTATGACATGTGTAATCTCAGTTGAAGGCACTTGAGCACCCAAAGCCCAGCTTACCCTTGATCTGACTTACCTCCCACCTAGAATTCAGGAATAGGGTCTCCTCTGGGCAGTCAGATCATCATACCACACTCTCATTTGGGGATGGACTCTCTCTGAATATTTGAAAATATTTTATCCAAAGAAAAAAAATCAACAAACACTATATTGTTCTGTAGTAGACAAATTAGAGCAACCTAAATTCCACCACTGATTAGCAGTCTAATAATAAATACTTTCCAGCAGCACTTTAATCCTTGGATAAAAAAAAAAAATCTTAACTTCCTTGAAGTACATTATGCCTTACTCTCACAACAGTCTCCATCACTACTTTTAAGGTGACCTCGGGCAAAAGTCCTTGTTTTCTGCGTTACTTGCACTGCGTGTGCTGGGAAGTTGTCCATCACTTGGTCCAGTGACTTCTCCCACCATTTGGATACCTCTGGGTATTCTAAATATTACCAAAGAGAGCTGAGGGCTCCTCACCAACCCAGCCAGAGTGTGCTGGATCAAGAGTTCTTTCCTGTGAGGTTAACCACACCTTGAACTTCCCTAATAGACCTAGCAGGCCCATCAGAGTGACTCAGCACCTTACTGTAGCACTCAAGCATTCCCCTGCACCCCAGAATTCTAGGGTAGACAAGAACACTGCTATTTGCTGATATCGGGACCATTAACTCAGCATGTCCCAAGTGTCTTTCCGTGTCTTAAAATTGAAGTTATCGTCATAGATGTGTTATTTCTATTAAAAACAATAGTGAACGGTAAAACTGAAAATAAAATTAGGATTTTTGTTCCTGGTGAGACACTTCCACTATCCCCCAATTTACTTTTGTTAGAGACATAGAGGGACCCGAGTCGTCAGTGGCAAAGGCTGGTCCACTAAAGAAGGAGCAGAGAGTGTACCATTCAGCTGCAAGCTGGTGTGTAACATGGGGATCAGCTCACACCGTGAGACAAGCTGGATGGACAAGCTCATGGCGCTTTGAGGGGAACACCCAGGGTGATAATGGGAACAAAAGACACGTCACATAAGGAAGAGCTGAAACCACCAGGGTGGATGGAGACATGATTTTGTCTTCAGCTATTTGAAGACCAGTCATGTGGGCTGCCTTGAGAACACCTTTTTGCAGATTTCCAAACAGAGTTGGGGGGAACCTCTTGGCAGGAACATTTAGAAGAATTCAGGCATTGGATAGTAGTGGGACTAGAAGACTTTTGGTATCTTAAGATTCTGTCCCCTACCCTGTGGGCTTTGAAGAGTGGAGTTGAAAATTAATAGGATGGGGCCAGCTGAGTGGCTCACTTGGTTAAGAGCGAGCTCTGAGCAGCAGGGTCGCCAGTTCGATTCCCACAGGGGCCAGTGAGCTATGCCCGAGCTGAGCTGCTGCTGAGCTGCCAACAGGTGGCAGGATGGCTCAGCTGGTGAGAGCATGTGCTCCTAACAACAAGGTTGCTAGTTCGACTCCCGAATGGGATGGTGGGCTATGCCCACCTACAACTAAGATTAAATAGGGCACTTTGAACAGAGTGGCCACAAGCTGCCCATGGGCGGTCGGATGGCAACTAGACTTGGAGCTGAGCTAGCTGCGCCCTCCACAACTAAGATTGAAGGACAACAACTTGGCTGTTCCCCTCCCCCTCCCCCAATTCCCCAACACTGTTCCCCTTCCCCAATTCCTCAATAAAATCTTAAAAATAGAAAAAAGTTAAAAAAAATTTGGTCTGATATAAAAGACAAAAGAACATTAACAGGATGATTTCAGAAGTGATGCACCTCGCTTTTCGGCTTGCCCATCTTGTGCTCTTTGGTTTTTAGGTTCCTTGGTAGATGACGAATCTCTCATCGGTGTCCTCCGAACCACCAAGCTGACAGCGGCCGAAGTCAGTGAAAAGCTACATGTGGCAGCGGAAACAGAGATCAAGATAAACACAGCTCAGGAGGAGTTCCGGCCCGTGGCCACCCGTGGAAGCATCCTCTACTTCCTCATCACGGAGATGAGCATGGTCAATGTCATGTACCAGACCTCTCTGGCCCAGTTCTTGAAGCTGTTTGACCAGTCCATGGCCAGGTAGGGCCCCACGCCCTTTGCCCCAGAGCAGCAACTTAAAATGTTTGTTAGTACATACTTGCTTAGAAAAAGCTCTTTACTTACCTGATTTTTTAAAATGCGTTGCAGATCTGAGAAGTCTCCACTACCTCAGAAGAGAATTACAAATATTATTGAGTACCTGACCTATGAAGTTTTTATATACTCCGTCAGAGGCTTGTATGAAAAGCACAAATTCCTCTTTATTCTCCTCATGACCCTGAAGATCGATCTTCAGAGAGGAGCAGTGAAGCACAGAGAGTTTCAGGCCCTCATTAAAGGTGAAGGGTTTGGAATATATGGGTGTGACATATAAAGGGTGTTGCTTTCGATGTGCTCTTTGATGTACTGTAAACCCATTTCTATAACACATAGAACAAGTTCTTTATTTATTATACCTCTTTCTTTCTGATTTCCATTCATTTTTCTCTAATTACTCAAGATAACTTATTTCAGGTTTATGTTAACATTATGATTTTTAGTATATAATTAAGTGAAAGTTGATCATTGTTGCCCATGATTAGGAGATACAGATGCCAAAGGGAGGGAAAGTGATGCTTGTGATGAGCTTTCTGTCGCAAGAGAGCAATTCTTTAAGCAAGGCAGTAATGACTGTTAAGACTGTAAAAAAGGTGCACATGTATTTCGCATTTGAAGTTAATCCTATTCATTGCTTATCTCCATGTTAAAAGTACAATTAAGAAGACAAAAGTATTTTCATTCAATTCAGTTCAACAACTATTTGTTGAGCACATACTATGGAAACCCACCATACTAGTGTTTGGGATACAAGAATAAATCAGACATTGCTTTAAAAGAAGGAACAGTCTCCTAATGGGATAAAGAGAATTTTAAAAATAACTGGAAAATGAGGCAAAATAACCTAAGTGATTTTAGACAGCTAAGAACAAAGTGTTAACATTTAAAAGGAGGGAGAAATTATGTATGGTTCGTGAGATCAATACAAGCTCCTTGGAAAATATACCTCTGCAGGTTAAGCCATGAACTTTTCTGAGTTTTTGATACATGGCGGAAATGTTGCAATTATTATGTTTTTTGCTCTTTGTATATAGTTTCATAAATCATTTTCTGGCTGCCCCCTCCCCCAAAAGAAGAAAGTGGCATTTGAAATGGACCCTGAAGGATAGGTAGAAATGAAGGGAACATCCCACGCTGAGACAGAACCGCCTGAGAAAAGAAATGAGTGCAGTATGTAACTGTGAGCCTTAATTCTCACAAAGGAAGGATTTTCTTAATCTCATAAGAAATAATGAGTTGTGTGAGGTGGTGACGGGGTGCTTTAGGAATCTTTTGTTGCCCTTTAGAAGATTACTTTGGCAGACACATACAGGATTAGAGAAAAGAGAAACAAGGGAGTCTGTTCAACTACAGGAATTGCACTCCAGCCGAGGGTAAGAACAACAGCAATAGAAAGGAAGAAACAGACATGAGGGCTCATAGAAGCACAACTGACTGGGTGTAAGAGCTGAGAGGAGGGTCAGAAACGAGTCTAAGGCTTCTGGTCTGCGCAGAGATTTTCCAGTCTGGTTGGTTGAAGGAGGAACTTGTGTGTGGAGTGTTAAGAGCAGGGAGATAATGAATGTGATTTGGGGACCTAGTTTTCAGTCAGGGTAGGATAGGTTTTGTGGCCATAAAAACAATACCAAAACGTCAGTGCTTAACAAAGCCGTACCTTCTCGCTCACTCTCTGCTCAGCGCGCTTGTCATGGTCACCCAGGAATCCAGATTGCTTCCATAATTACTATGGTGGAGGGGTGGGATGCTGGCTCTTAAAAGGGACCCCATGAGTGACACATGTCACTTACACTCATATTTCATGAGCCAAAGCAAGACATATGGGCACATCCAACTTCAAAGGGAGCAGAGAAATGCAATCCCTTTATCTGCTTGGGAGGAGGGGAAACTGAACGTTTTGAACAGCTCTGGTGACTACACAGACATGCTGAATTTGAGATATCCAGCAGACGGTTGGAAAGGATAGGCCAGACAATTTAGAAGTCAGAAGACAGGGCATAGAAATAACAACCACAGCCATGGGAACAGAGATGATCTAGGAAGAAAATGTAGAATATTTCCAAGTTCATACTACAAGGTGATAGGACATGACATATTTTTACCCTCATCATCCAATTTATAATAAGAGGCAGTACCTGTAACTTCTTATTACTCTATCATTCTTCTTAGTTTCGTTCTGGAAACTTTATAAACAATTTTGCATAATCACTGAAATTTCTTTGACGTTTTATTTCTTGCAGCTCAAAGGAAATTGGAATATGTTGTCCAGTTCCTATTTTTCCCTCAGGTCTAATACATCTGGAGAAGTTGGTGTCTTAAAGTGTATGCAGGAGTGAGACAGCGTGGTACAGTTAAGCGTGCGCAGGACTAGGAACCAGGGAAACGAAATGGGCTCTGCCACTGACTAGCAGTGTGATCTCAGAGAGCGATCCCCTGGTCCCTCCAAGTGCAAGAGGCTGTGAGGGCCCAGGGGATAGGATAAATACCACCTGGGAGAGATGGGCAGGCTCTAGAGAGACGTCCAGACGTATGGGCTTGTGGTGTATGGGACGTTTAAATAAAATGAGCCTGAATTTACCAAATCTAGAAAGCTACAATACTTTGACTCACCTCGGTCACCTTGAAGCCCTCACTTGGACTTGGGGCCACATCCCAGTGTTTGAGGCACTGGCAGTGGGGAGGGGAGACATTGAGGCATGTGGGAATCTAGGAAGCAAAATGGGCCTCGCAACTTTAGGAAAGCCTCCTATCTGTGGGATGTAAGTGGAATGGGAAGTATACTTTGGGGTCTTTCCTTATCGTGGGCTGGCTTTGCTTCCTGAATCCCATCTGCCGGTGTAACCCCTGGGAAGGAGACAGATACGTAATAGAAAGGGGTGGGAAACATGGCCGCTTGGCCCACAGTGGTCACTGGGAGGACAAGGAAGTCAGAGGGGAAGGAGGTCTGATGCAAAGATCGTTGTCTCTTCCCTGTCTCCTGAAGCAGGTGGGTAGAGGAGGGTGCTCGAGAAACATCCAGATAAAAGATGCCCCTGCGTTCTGCCCGGAGCCACATTCACCATGGAGGCTGCATTACAGCGTTGGTGGAGGGATTGGCTCAATGGAGAAGCCTGAGGTTTGGCAGGCAGGAGTGTGGACGTGGAAATGCCAAGAGGGCTGGTGCACAGCAGAGGCTGGGGATTCAAACCAGGAAGCTGAGGGGACTTTGTAACCGGAGACAAAGGGCCAGTCTGTGTGGATAATAGCCCCATGTCGCTGCAGGCCAGAGAGGAATTGCTCAGGGAATACAGTCCAGGGATCCCAGCCTGTGACCGAGACAAGTGGACACTAGAGGGCAACAGTCAGGTCTGAGGCACGTCCTCATCAGGACACAGTCCCGCCCCACCTCACCCCTCCCCACCCAGCAAACCCAGCCAAGCCAGAGCTATTATCAGAAAGAGACAGGATTCTTCGAGGCAAAGTATGTAAATCAGAGGAGACTGAGAAATACAGCAACAGAGTGGGGAAGGAATTTGTGAGGATAATCAGCTTTGGCACAGGAAAATAAAGAGAGCTGCATATCTGGGTTGTAAAGCACATCTGTGACCCCAGTTCATAAAACTGAAGAGTCAGGCAGAACCAGATTGTCCAAGACCAAGAGAGCCAGGGAGAGGAGCTTGGATTTAATTTGCTTGGCAATAGGGAGCCATCGAATGCTTTATGAGCAGGGAAGTAGCATGAACAGAGCAGTGCTTTAGGAAGGTTAATTTGGACTGAATGATAGGTTGATTGACAGAAGTACAGTCAGCTCAGTAGTAAAATAGTTTAAAAAAAAGAAAAACCCAACTGGCTTATTGTACAGTTTGTATTAGTTTTGAACTGGCTTACATTTTGACCAAATTATTTTTTAAACATGGCATGACTTGGATTTTAATGTTTTTTTAATGAAGTTAATAAACATGGTCCTTAGATCATTGATATTTTTTATCATTTTGAACTCAGTGCTTATGGTGGAAAAAAGACTTATTTATCATAGGAGAAACATTTGATTTCCCAAGAGTGACTGTCCCTTTGTATCAATTTCTCCTTGTTTTCTGCAATATTTCGAAGGTGCCTTTGACTTCCTGCTTCAATTGAGAATGTCAGGCACTTTGAAAAATGAAATAAATACCAGGGACCATCTTGCATTAGAGAGTAATTGATATACCTGTTTCCCTGCCTGGTTATTTTAGAAAGATATCATCTTTCTTTTGTCGTGAAACATGGTCAAAAGACACGTAAGGGGTGTGCTCTACTTCCTGGTTGGGTGGGACCTAAGCCTTTGAAAACAGAGAGAAAAAGTTAATGTCAAAATCATAGCTAATGATTATATAGATTCTACTATGGACCAAGACCGTCCTAAGCTTTCTGCATACAATAATTGATCTAATCTTCACAGCAACCAATCTGGTAGATTCTATGATTGCACCCATGTGACAGAAGAGGAAACAGAGAAATCGAGTTCTTTGTCCAAGTTTATGCAGCCAGCAAGTGTCAGAGCCAGGGTATTTGGGGAGAATAGGATCGGCTGTGATTGTTCTGGTTTGGTTTAGGTGGACAATATGTTTGCAAACACTGATGTAGCTCAAATGTCCTTTCCTGATGTCTTTGAAGCTTATGGTCACATGAAAACATTTTTTTTTCTTGGATACAACCAAGAAGAAAAGGGTGACTTTGTCTCTGTGTTAGAGAAGCAAACTCTCTTCAGTCTGCAGGTGACTCTAGTGGTCGCTTCTACAGTAAACTCGGTTTTAGCAGAAACAGTGCACAGTAAGTGTTCCTGTGTCACCGGGTGTAACGGGGTGGAGTGGTGGGAGGAAGGTGTCTGTGTTCTAAAGGTGTGGCGCTCAGAACCACTGAGCCCACTGGTGGAGCAAAGGGGTTTGCATGAAAGGAGCACTGCAGCTCATTCTCTTCTCAGGGAGACGCCAGAGCGGGAAGCAGGGCCCTGTAGCTCCCACCACCCCTTTTTTTGCCCAAGGGTTGGTATATGATGTGGAGGGATTCAGTGAGCTCTTCAGGAAGATTATAGGATTTGAAAGTTCCAGAATCATTAAGAAGTACAAATTGGTAGTTACAAAGTAGTCATGGGGATATAAAGTAAAGCATAGAGAATATAGTCAATAATATGGTTATAACTATGTATAATGCCATGTGGGTGCTAGACGAGTCAGGAGGATCACTTCATAAATTATATAAATGTCTAACCACTATGCTGTACACCTGAAACTAATATAAAATAATGTCGAATGTCAACTGTAATTGAAAAATTTTAAAGGAGGGGTGAAAAGGAAGGGGAAGAAGAGGGTCAAATTTCCAGGTATAAAACAAGTAAATCATGGGGATGTAATGTACAATATGGGGAATATAGTCAATAATATTCTGATAGCGTAGTGTGGTGTCAGATGGTTGCTGGACTTACGGTGACCACTTCTTTAGGTATATAAATATTGAACAACTATGCTGTACCCCTGAAACTAATATGATATTGTTATGTTAGCTATATTTTAATTAAAATATTTTTTTAAATTAAAAATAAAAGTTCCAGAATCACTGTTTTTGCATACAGCTGAATTAGAAAAACCGAGCTGGAATTATTATGATAAAACATTACCAATGACATGCAATGGAGGAATTTTGAAATTATAAATATAGCCATTGTATCCTGGTGAAAGATTGTCACATTGGATATGCTTATTTGACTTGTGGTTTGCTTCAAAATACGATCCAACACTATACCTCACATTCTCCGACAGGCTGTGTGAGAACAAGAGGCTTGTTTGGTTTTCTCTGCTTTCCCAGTGCCTGGAATATGCCAGATATGTAGAGGGTGCTCAATAAATACTTTTTTCAATAAATCAATAAATCAATGATTTGAACATTAGTTACCCCCTTAAAAATGCTTAGGTGTATTATATCAATCTATTCATCTACCCATCCTGTTGATCTGGTAGCAAATAGTATAGAATATCAAACTGCTGGAGGAGTGATGCCTAAGTGCTTTATAAAATCACACTCAAAAACAGCAGCCTATTCATTGATAGCAAAATTATACATTTCAGATTGTTTAAAAATGATAATAAATAAAAAGGCAAACAACCATAATTACCTGAGAACAATTCTTTGCATGGAAAAATGACAAGGGGTTGCCATCTGTGTCTTATAACGTGGTGTGAATCAGTCAATAAAGCTCTAAGACTTGAAGGAAATGTACCCAAAAAAAGATAACCACATTTTCTGTAATGTGATTATTTTCCAATTTTCCCATGTTTTCTGTAATATGGTTATCTCGTTTCTATTACTTAGAAAGTAAATTTCTAAAAATGAGGCACAAGCTGACCTGATTCCACTGTGCCTTTCCCCAGGGGGAGCTGCTCTGGATCTGAAAGCCTGCCCTCCCAAACCATTTCGCTGGATCCTGGATATGACCTGGCTGAATCTTGTGGAGCTGAGTAAACTGCCGCAATTTGCAGAAATTATGAACCAGGTAATGAAGGGCCGGATAAAAGCACAGACCTGTAAACCCAAACACATCTGGGACAATTTAATTGGGGCCTCCTGGTGACAAGTCCTTCACCCAAAGGAATCAACACAATAATGTAGCTCGGAGGCTCTGTGGCTCTCTGGGGAGACTTGGGACACAGGGATATCACAAGGACCCTTGTCACAGGTGCAGGCTTCTGCCTTTTCCTTCTGTGTGGGGGCATGGGTCATGCATAAGCCTGCTTGAATTGTTGTCAGAATCAGAGCCAGCGGGTGAACGCTTTTATTGTAGACTATTGATGTTTTTGCATGTTTACTTCTGCCTATGATTAAATAATTTGTGCATGTTTGAATTTCACACAAATTAAGGTCCTTTTTAAAAAATCAATCGTTTTAATGGTGAAAATATTAAGTGGTAAAGCATGTCCTGATTTACCTGTTGTTTTTCTTATCTGAAAATGTAAATTGGTTATTGTGGATTAGTTGTCCATTCAACTCTAACTGGAAAACAATTAGACAACTCAGGATAAAGATAGTTGTTTATTACCTGGGTCTGTTGGTTACTGCCTGTCACTGATGGAGGGCCTGCCATTCCAGTGTCAAAGCTGATAATCATCTTTTTTGTGATTGGGGAACAAATGCAACTTGGCAGAGGCCTCATGCTATCATCATGTGATTCCCACCCCCTCAACCCCTCTCCCGGTGTAAACTAGGTGTGTCCATTTAGTGGTATCTCTGGAACACTGTGTAGACTCTTCACCTATTTATCCATGGTTGGATCAGAGTCAACTGGATAAAGTCCCTGGATTCCATCTGTGGTGGACAGTAAGCTTTGTTTTGTAATACAGCCACAGATGGGTACCCCAAACCCAAACAAATACCTTGAAAAGAAGTGGTCTTAGTCTGCTGGGAGACTAAGGGAGACCTTCACGCACCACTGGAAAAGTCACTCAAAATCCATACCCTCCACTGGCGAGTTATATTGCTATAGAGATATGCATTAATATAGAAATATGCACTATCGTTTGCCCCTGTCAGTTAGATTTTAAGTACGGGTGGTATAGAATCTGGTAGCTACTACTGCCTACTGTGAGATAAGTACTTCGCAACAACAGTCACTGTGCAAGGGAAGTATTATTGACACCGCTTTATAGATAAGAAAACTGAAATTCGAAGAGGCTAAGTAGTTGCCCAAGGCCACATGGCCAATAAGTGGCGACTCTGTAAGTGGCCTCATTCTCTTTCCCTGATGACAGGAGTTGTTTCTCTCTGATCCCTTTTACACCACGGGGTGGGCCAGTCCTGAGGGGAGGATTCCTTCCCAGGAAACTTGCAGAAGCTCACTGCGGACCTGCCATCAGGCGTCGGTCTGTTTGGCCAGTCTGTGGGAAGGACGGGAGGAAGCAGAGGGAGATCAATCTCCCAGCTGAGGGGTGTTGAGAATTGAAACAAATACAGCCTCAAACAGCAGCTGCCCTGCCTTGCCACCTCAGGCCAACTGTTCAACACCTGGAAGCAGTTTTGGTAACAGGACCAGCCAGAAAAGGAGTGGGAAATGGAAATGACTGGCAAGGGGCTGGAGGTTCTCCCGTTGCCCATCACAGACGCAGCTCGCTCTGGAAGCTCTACTGTGGTAGAGTCAAAATCAGCTGATGGAAGACTAGTAGGCTGGGAATAAACACCCTCTTTTCTCTCTTACCACCTTCTCTCTAGCAGCTATTGTGGAGGAGGCCTGCAGAGGGCGCTGTGGGTGGCAGTGCTCAGGCACCAGCTCAGTAGGGAGGGCTACAGCAGCACCCAGGCCCTCGGAGCGGCGTGCCAGGCAGATTCTTTGGGATCAGGCAACTCGGGAGAGCCACTGCACTGGAAGCGATGCGTGACATGGAGTGTTGTCATCATGGAGGATGATTGACGGCACACTTTAAAACACACCTTCTCCAACCGTAGCTCACGCCTGACTTCCTGCACCGAACAAGCTGAAACTTGTCACACACTGTTACTAAGGTTCGATGCACCGATTCCAGTATTGAAGATCCCTGCCTTTCTGTTGGATGACACTTGGCAGGCAGCATTCACTGTAGGTTTTGATCACAACGGAAAGGCTCCGTGTCACACATCACTTCTGGTACAGCAATTTCTGTCAAATAAAAACATTACGGTGTGTCCTCATCCACCTTATTCACTGGATCTGGCACCATATGCCTTCTTGCTCTTCCCAAAGTCAAAATGACCATGAAAGATAAACATTTTGAATCAATTCAGGACGTTGAGGCAGCCATGGCAGCACAACTAAAGACACTCACGAAAGAGGTCTTCCAGAACTGCTTCAGGAAG